AAGGAACACAAAATAAAGTATAATTCAGAAAGTAAACAGATGTAAAAAAAAATCATCAATCCACTATGAACTGGACGATGACATCACTGAATCATCAATTAACTTTAACTGAAAAAAATGACTGTTTGTTATTGTCCTCTTCCATTATTGACAAACTATGTTCCAGTTTGTCACTGTACAGCTGCTTTGACACAATCAGTATTATATAAAGCGCTATAGAAATAAAGATGACTTGACTTGACTTGATTATGCAAACAGTGACATCATTTGCATCCAAATTATTAATCAGTATGACTCATAATAATATGATACTAATAATATGAGTCAGGGGAGATTTCAAAACATTAACCTTATATTTCTTACAAATTAACACAAATGAAAAACAGACCGCATGTTTTGGTTGGTGTTTTTTGCTCTGTTCTGCTGTGTGTTTAGTGTCCATGTGCTCTTTAATAAAGCTTTAGTTTGTTTCTGATTTCATTATGGATGCCTGTCACTGTTATGTACAATGTTAGATTAGGAATACAACACCGGAGATTTACAATAATCTGCTAAACGATTCTGCACACTAAGCAGTACAGGCTGAAAACAATTGCAGAAGTGTAATACTTAGGAAATGGATATATTACCTGTTCCGGGTGGCAAAGGGTCTGTTCGCGCTGAAAGAGAGTAAAACTACATGAAATAAAGACTACTGGCATTTGATCTCCCATCGCCAGTTCTTTTTTAATACTAAGAGGAAAACACAGAAAAGGAGTAAAACAATCTTACTTCGTTGAAGCCATATGCACCTGACGTTAGACTGCAGGCTGTGAAACAAACATTGAAGAGTTTAACTGAGCTGTCAGTTGTGAATTTGCTTTATGAAGAATTCAAGTTGATTCCTGACTACCTCGGAGTATTTGCAGCGAAACAAACAGACAGCAGATGGGTGAACGGATTCGGACCTCTGACCCAGGACAGCGTGACGGAGCTCTGGAAATTCTGGCCTATTTCCATTTGTGATATGAAGAGGCCCGGTGGACCAGTCACAGCAATTTCAGACACACTGCATGGAGAAATGACCAGGGATTTCAACTGATATACTGATAAAATGGTTTAGCATGATTTTTCATGGTGCTTGCATTTTTGGAGTCAGATTAAATTCTACTAATGAGAAGAGCATATAACCAAACTGAAGCGTGCCATTTCTGAAAAAAACTGAACTGCAAAAATAACAACTACACACTAAAGTGTCCAGTGTGCAGCCATTGATGCACCATTGTGTTTATTCTGAAAGGAGCAAACTGATCCGAGTAAAAGGAATTAAGAATTAATTTATGCACACTGAGTTTATGTATGACGTGAATCGGGTCAGATCAGAACCTGAGAATTCCTCTAGGTTGCGTCCCAATCTTCTTCAAAATGTCTTTTTGTGTGTGTGTGTTCAGCAGTAACAACTGTT